GAGTTGGAGATGGCGAAGTTGGAGAGTTGAATCTGCTATCGCTCAACGAGCTGCGAGATGCGATGAAGAATGGGGAGGTAAAGTTAACATGCAACATGACGTATCTGGCATTTCTGATCCGCCATGGATACATCACTGCCGAAAACGAGCCCGAACTCGTTCAGATTTCTTCACGATTGCACCGCCACCATGACCTATTCATCGCCTAGTGGTTGAAACCGTCTGACCACCCCCTGAATCTTTCTCTTTCGTCTCCAGCATTTCTTCGAGGATACAAAATCTTTCACTGCTACACTCGCTTGATTCAGTGAACCCCCGGATGGTTATTGATATATGACTCGGTTGAAGCCGAGGAGTGCGGTGGTCAAAAGAGTATTTGGTCAGAAGCTCATTCATATCGTTCAGTGCTCTGACAACTGGATCACACGCCCTTAGGTTTTACCGGAGCATCCGCACTTCGTTTTGATGCTGGACGGGTCGCCGAAGGAGAGAACGACGAGGGTAAAGCAGCAGACCAACCCTGGGTCCAACCATCTCACCGTGGAAGATATTTCTCTCTGCTCCCAACAGAGTCCAAATCTTTCAGCAGCCCTGGACCTCGACAAAGAGACCGCCCTTGAAGTCTCACACGGTTCCTGGGCCTGCAGGAAAGCACAGCTCTGATGTCGTTCGGCCGACACCAACGGAGGATAGCGTCGTTTTGAACTAGAAAAGCTCAGGACAAATCAGCTACAGCTCACCCAGCTCAGGGCCATGAACGAAAAAGGAAATCTTGTGAGCCTAGATTCGTCTCAGATAACTGGGCTGGAATGCGTTGCCATCCGCATCGGTATCTTCGAGCCGAGCCTGGGGTTCCACATCCCCAAGTTGACGGGATCCTACGCTTCAGGTTGCGGGGATGTGGATTTTGCGAGGCGTCTGAAGCGTCTGATGCGCGCCTTGACATTTCGCTTGAGAGGATGGCAGTTGGCGTGGCGTGGGCTCCAAGAGTGGAAGAGAAATGGGATGGCATGGGGCAAGAAGAGAATGGGTTAGATGCCCTGTACTAGTACGTTCAATTGTGGCATCCAAATCTACTGCCGGTTGACCTGGTTGTGATCCATGGTTTCGAATTTTTCGGACGAACGATCTGCGCCATCGAGGGCCTCCATCACACCTACCATGACCTCCTTCAACACCGACAAACATCACGATGTTCCGCCCCGCAAACGCCCACCTGCGTACCCACACGACCCGGTACGTTGGAGCCCTGAAATTTATCCCTTATCAACAAGGACTCGGTTCGAATGCTCAACGCCGAGGACATGGGGCAGTTGGTAGAATACACAGGGCGGTGGTGCGAAGGTTGTGTTAGGAGCCTGAGGGCTGTGTGCGTGTGCAGAGGGCACTGCTGGATTGAAGCCCCTGAAAAGCCCCTGGATCCAATGCCTGGTCGATGCTCCTGAATCCAGCGAAACCGAGGGCAGGCATCTAGCACGAGTTAGGCGGTTTGTCGTTCTTGAGGCGGTTCGCCGTCTTCGCTAGACGCAATGTTTTTCACAGACACTACTACCACCTCTTGAAGAGAGCCTTCAGTACGTATACAGGGAGTTTTGCCACTTTGGTATCTCATTGGTATTTGTTGTAACCGACGTCGAGCACCCCTTAGAGTCTAATCTGAATCGGGGTCTTCGACCTCTTGGATGACAAACTCTCTCACCCCGTCACAGGTGAGTCCTTCCGATGGGTGTAAGTTGAGAACGAAGGTCGACGCGAAGTCTACATCCCTGTCCCTGCGAATCCCGACTGCTAAGGCGCGAGGGCCTCGGCACCGCAGGATGGTTAGAGTGGTGACGGAAAGTTGGCTACAAACGTCCATGATGAAATCCTTCCAGTTGCCAGACTGCATCCAAACACTTCGCAGAGTGACGTGCTTGAGTGTTGTCTTGTGCGCATGCAAGAGGTTGAAGAGGATAGTTTGGTCGCAGATAATCTGACCGATCTCCAGTCTTTCTAGTGCCGGAAACCTAAGATGGTTAGAAAGTTCGGCAAAGTAGCGGCGATCAGGGTTGTCCGCCGCATTGTCGTGTTGTGCGGTGTCGTGCCGGAGAGTGACTTCCCGAACCATTGGAAACAATCTCAAGAAGCTCAGAATGCCGTGTGCTCCGGCGTCGACTACCGCTGACCTCCCGGGCACGAGCATCCTCTTGGTCGGCGTGGCGAGGTCCCAGAAACAAAGCTTGTCTAGTTTGAAGCCATCCACTTCCACTTCCAAGTCTAGCAGGTCGCTACCAAGTCCAGAGACAAAGATGTGAAGGTCGGACAGATTCGCGTCGGCGGATGACAGTGCCAAGATGACCTCCCTCATAGCCGCTGTGAGCCATGCATCTTTCACTCTGTAAGTCCAGGCATCCTTCATCTTGAAGGGTGTCTTACGCCGACCGAGAACCACCATGTCCTTTAGATTGGGCAAGGCGGCAAAGAGCTGGGACAGACTGCAGCTGTACCCAGCAACAAGATCGGAGACAACTGGATTGATGTCAGTGGCCAACCAGGTGTTCATGACGGCTTTGTTTGTTGCGAGGCAAGCGGGAGCATCAATCGAGATGCTGAGGCTCTGCACCGAGTTGCCAAACTCAGGACATCTTGCGATTTCAATGAGAGTATTTATGGAAGCGCCTCCAGGCTCCAAAGCAATGCGTCGGTGCCGGAAATAATGACGAGCCATCATCGGGACGGCAATGCGGCTCATCGGCCGCGACGCGAGCCGGAAGTCGAGCACAGAGCGTTTGCTCTGCTCCGGGTCTGGGGTTGCGGGCGATTTTGGGTCTGACGATGAGTCGGAAGATGAATCCGACTCAGAGTCTGACTCGGTGAAATTCAGCAGTTCGGATACGATCCTTTCCAAGATCTCCTCCGGTACCGAATGGAGATAGGCCCGAGTTGTGGGCTTTGCCATCGCCGACTCGGAGGTCGGGAGCATCGTCGACTTGGGATGTCACTGTGACGTGGGGTCGTAATGTGTCGAGAGGATTGATATCGCTAAACCTTCAGAGGTGTCAATGAAGCCAATTCTGGGCCGAAACAGCGGGGATGAGGGAGTCTCAGACTTGAAGCTGAAAAAAGAGTGGTGCCTTGGCCGCTGACGCTGTGACAGCCCTCCATGCCAAGATGTCCCGTCTTGGCGCCAAGGTGGGGGGCACGCAGCGGATCGATTTTGCTGCACATCAACATCACCATTGCGAAATCTCATTCCTGACGTAAAAAGTGGAATAATGTACCGCCAACTGTCTGTTGGTTGCAATTCTCGCTCACACCTCGATGTGTGCATTGCCCACTAGAAGGTCCCAATGAGTGCTGGAAAGAGGGGTGCGCGGCGGCCGTGCAGCCATGGCTTCGTGTGCCACCAAACTTAAAAACACCACAGGAATCCATGACACGCCGCATCGCCGGCAAACCAAAAACCTACTAACCTTCAACAAGCCACAAAACTCGACAAACCCAGTCATGCGGCGACGACTCACTTCCGAGGATGGCTCTGAATGAGAGACAGACTGTTTCAGTGCGGTGATTTCCCTTCCACATCGCGCCTCTGGGATCCTGGAATTCGTCATTGTGGCTTGCAGGAGCCCCTTCCTTGCCATGGCGGATTCGTACCCTTGAAGGCCAAGACGCTGAGCAGGTGAGCCATTCTACACAAAATAAACCGCACCCCGAGATGACGCTGGCCCGTCCATTACCGAATTTCACGTTTTCCGGCATGTTTGCCCACGCTCGCATTCTTTGTTTCCCAGTCATTAGACCCGAATGCGTGTCTCCCTTTCGCCACATGCGCATCCCGTCCCGACCCAGGACCATGGAACCGGGTTCAACGACACAAAGAAGGCCGAAGAGCACCAAAAACACCTGCCCCGCATCGCCGTCACCTTCGGCCCCATCCTCTCGACTCCCCAAAAATGCCCGTCGACCTGATGCCAAAATGGAAGGGACACCAAGCAACACAGATGACTCCTCCCTGACAGACCTCGGCGGCATCGGCGAGACCCCCAACACCTCCCTCCGCCCCATCCCAAGCATTGACCAAGAGAACTTCTGCGAGGGCCGTCAGTACCACCACTACCGCCCAGGTCGCTACCTGCTCCCCAACGACCAAGTCGAACAGGACCGAGAGGAAGTCAAGCACTTCATGCTTCTCGAGCTGACGGATGGCGCACACTTCCTCGCTCCCATCAATCCAGCCAAAGTCCTCGACCTCGGCACCGGTACCGGCACCTGGGCCGTCGAGGTTGCCGATCGCTTCCCCGCCGCCGCTGTGACCGGTACAGATCTCAGTTTGATCCAGCCCGACTGGTCGCCCCAAAACGTAAAGTTCTTCATCGATGACATCGAAGACGAGTGGGTCAGCGGCGACAACTTCGATCTCATCCACGCTCGCCATGTCTTCCCCTTCATCAAGGATCCAGCAACCCTCACCCGCCGCGCATTCGAACACCTCGCTCCCGGTGGCTGGCTCGAGCTACAAGACCTCGGGCATCTCGTGTGCTGCGACGATGACACCATGACCCCGGATTACCCGATCGCACAATTCTTCGATCGCATTACAGAGGCATGGGGTAGCTTTGGGGCCGACTTGCGTGCTGGACCGAAACTGGAGGCCATGTTCCGATCCGCGGGGTTCATCAATGTTGAGACGAAGACATTCAAGATACCAATAGGGGCATGGCCGCATAACACTAAGGGGAGGGAACTGGGGCTGTCCTTTCGGGTTGTGATCGGGATGGCGCTTACGGCGCTCTGCGGGGCCATCGCAACCGTGGAAGGGTGGTCGGAGGAGGAGAGGAATGCGTTGACGGAACGATGCAACGAAGCGTTGAAGGACAGCGGAGTCCATGCATATATGCATTGCTACTTTGTCATCGGGCAAAAGCCAGAGGCCTAGGTCGGGCGGAGGGGTGATTGGGGGACGGATCTCAGATCGAACGAGGTTCAAAGATGAGAAAAGTGACTCGTTTGGATATCAAGGTCCGCTGGCTCAATGGCAGAGCGTCTGACTACGACATCAAGAAGTCATCAGGAGGTTCCAGGTTCGACCCCTGGGTGGATCGGTTCAACACAGGATGGATGAGGTAAAGCCTCGAATTTTTATTTTTTTTCCATGTCCGCAATATATCCACAGCATACCCACATCTTTCTGCACGACTCCTACTCAGGGACCCTCCCGCTCGCAATAATCGCCACCCAAAGAAGATCCCAACTCTTTCCTCTGTACTTTTTCTCCAGAAAGACCTTCACCAACCCCTCCACCTCCTCCCTTGGATGCTCGTTCCTCAGCTCCTCGCTCCAACAACTCGTCATCACCCAGTTGACAATCATCCCGAAATTCCTCACAAAATACTCCGGACTATCTGCTCTCTGCAGGAACGCATACGGCTCAACTTGCACGTCTTGCAAACCTTTGGCCTCCAGCGTGTTTCGAATCCAGTTCGTATCAGACCACCTACCCCACGAGGTCATTTGCGGACTGGCGGCGAATGGAGCTTCAAAAGGGAAGGACTCGAAGGCTTCCTTGACGTCGGGTGCCCATCCGAGGGGTTGAGTCCATGTTGTGAAGGCGAGGGTGCCGCCGGGAGACAGAATGCGGATTGTTTCTAGGAATGTCAGGGCTTGTGCACACAGGATGGGGCTGGAAAAAGTGATTTACCGTCCAAGGCAGCCTCTGAATCAGGGACAACGTGAAAGCCGATGTTCATCGTCACGTGGCTGAAGCTGGAGGATGGGAGGTTGGTTTTCTGCGCATCAACGACGTTCGCCTCGGTGTTCTTCCATCCTTCCTCGGTGATTCGCTTCTGAACAAGCCCGATCGCCGGCTGCGAGAAGTCACCGCACAGGATGCTGCTTTGATGCAATGCCTCGGGCTTGATTCGACGTTGAAGTTCCGATGCGACGACACCTGCGCCGCACCCGTTGTCGAAGAGCTTGAATGGCTTGGAAGCGTTCTCGTTCAACCCAATCTGGTTCAGCATCTGTGTGACGAGCGGCACGCTGACGCGGCGGGCGTTGTCGAGGAGGACATCTTCCCAGGAGGTGCCGATGGTGCTGGAGAGGTTCTGGAAGAGCTTGTTGAGTTCTTTTGCCCCTTTCGCGGTGGCCATGATGGCTGCTATAATGGGGTTCTCTGGTGGAAAGCCGAGTTGGATAGATTGTGGCAAGTGTTGATGAAATTGAAACTGTATCTTGGTCCTTCATCGCTGGGGGGTATCTTGCCTGTTATTTATGCCTTTCGTCGATGTAGTTGTGGCAGCTAGGAAAGTTTCCGAGAAGTCGCCGGGGGTGCCCCTTTTGGATACAAGTGCTTGCGTTAACCAATGTCAACAAAGAAGGCAGCCAAACAAAGCTTATGTAATGAAAAAGTATCCGGCAAGTCTCCGAAGACCAATCAGACTGAGTTTCTTACATTCTGCAGATACGCAGGATTAAGATGGCGCCCTCTGTGCAGTTCCCACAAGTGGCCTTGACTTGGGCGTAATGCACGCCTTGAACGTTACCTTAGCGGCCTTGCAAAACCCGACAGGGCCCCTTACATGCCGATACCATCAGGCAAGGCCTTCACGTCTCCAACAGAGGCCTTCTCGCAGCGCTGTAACTATAGGACTACTGACAGGCTTCGACCACACACACTCCGGCGCCAATGCAGCAACTCGGCACGCAATTTTCTGTTTCGCCACTGAGAAATCTGAGAACATCGCTGCATGATCGATCTTCAAATGGACGCCGCATCACAACGACACCTTGCGCTTGCCTTCGCTGCATATTCCCCAGCTTTTTCTGCGCGACATTTCCTCCCCTTTTTAACCCCTCTCCCGACACCCAGGTCTGGCTCCCGCACACTCGGTTAGGTCGGCGTCGATAGCAATCCGCATTTAGGCAGTGATGTCCCGAACACGCGAGAATGCCCATCCGCTGTCAACCCACGACGTTTCTAGAATAGCATGAGAAGCTCATATTCGGAGGCGCCGAGGTGGAGCGCGCTTGGCGTCGGCAGTTGCGGTAGCAGACAACAAGTGGTGCTAGATTCGGAGGTGGAGATGCCACGCCCGACTTTTGCCAGACGTTTCGGCGAATGGGAAGCGATTTAGTACTAGAAAAGGGGGAGAAGGGGGAGAGCTCGCTTCTACCGGTACCGGGGTAAAGAAGTATCTACCGGAACCGGGGGTTATAGAGTAGAATCGCTCCCATTGGCCGGGGAGTATTGCAAGTCATTAAAGACGGGGGATATCCTGAAAATGGACAAGAGTGTTTGCGTCAGTGCCTCGTCGAGTCCATGCCCGCCTTCGCTGTAATAAATACCTTTTTTGCCCTGACCTTGGCGGAGGGGAGCCCAAGAGTTTTCCTGTACGATGCGAGCCACTCAGCCCTCGATCGCCTAGAAACCTGCCCAGTACGATGATGCATCTCGGATTCTCAATCGTCGCGTGCGCGTTGGCGCTGACGCGCGGTGTTTTCGCTGCTCCGGAGCCGCTGGAGGCTCGCCAGACGCCGTGGAAGTCGACTACCATCACCAGCCATGCCGAACCGTGGGCCATCGCCTTCCTGCCCGACAATCGCGTCCTCGTCACCGAGCGACGGGGTAACCTCCGGCTGGTTAACCCCGAGACCAAGACGATGGGCTCCATCACGGGCGTTCCCGCTGTTGCGTACGGCGGCCAGGGCGGTCTGCACGACGTCGCGCTGCACCCCAACTACACCGAGAACAGCATCATCTACCTGAGCTGTAAGTTGCAACCACCAATTCAAAAACATATCCCGAAGTTGAGGTAGCGAGACTAACAAGCTTTCCCTCCTCGCAGACGCCGAGAGCGGCTCCGGTGGGGCAGGCGGGGCCGTCGCGCGAGCCAAGCTCACGCTCAACACCAGCGGCGGCGGTGCGCTGTCGGATCTCAGCGTCATCTGGCGGCACTCGCAGCGGGCGTCGGGCGGATTGCAGTTTGCTTGCCGGCTGCTGTTTGGGGCGGATGGTGCGCTGTGGATCGCGTCGGGCGAGATCAACCAGATGACGCCGGCGCAGTCGATGACGTCCAATCTCGGAAAAATGATCAAGCTGTACGACAATGGAACGTCGTTTGCGGGCAACCCGTTTGCCACTCAGGGCGCTGTGCAGTCGCAGATTTACTCGCTGGGTCATCGCAACCCGCTTGGCTTTGACTGGGATGCTCAGGGGCGTCTTTGGGAGGTACGTTTTTTGGACTCCGGCTTCAATCTTTCTTCTTCTCCTTTCTTTTTTTCCATTTCTTCGAGTTTCGAGCTAACGACACTCCCCCAGGTTGAAATGGGCCCCATGGGTGGCGACGAGCTCAACCTCATCGAGGCGGGCAAGAACTACGGCTGGCCGCTCGTGTCCATGGGCCGCCACTACGACGGCCGCACCATTCCCGCACACAGCACGCGTCCCGAGTTCAACCCACCCAAGGCGTACTGGGTTCCTGTCATCTCTCCCGGCGGCATGATCATCTACAAGGGCGACCTCTTCCCCAGTTTCAAGGGCAACGCCATCATCACCGGTCTCAGCTCGCAGTCCATCGTTCGCGTGACCATCACAGGTGACACCGCGAGGGAAGCTCAGCGTGTGTCGATGGGCAGGCGAATGCGTGGCATCCGTGAGCACAAGGATGGCTCCATCTGGGTCATCCAAGATGGAAACAACGGCCAGCTTATGAAGCTTACCCCGAACTAATCTCGTCATGGCAGCCAGGGATGTAAATGGGAAGTTTCGGACCGTACATATTTCTGGTAGAGTTTGGATAGTAAATTACCTGTAGGCTTTGACCGAGAGCCAGAACGTTATCGATGAGAGCCAGATATCGATAAAGTCAAGATATATGCACCAGGCCGCCATTGAAGCCTTCAGAGCATGCACAGCCTAGGGCTTCTCTCTGAAATAATACGGTACCTAATGTTTGGTTCGTCTTTTAGACGATCTTCACCTCAGTCTCTTGTGCCACGTCCATGACCTTGGCTATCCAGTCCTGACCACACCATGCCAGCGGGTTACCAATGACAATCAACAAGCCAATGCGCCGATACACGCAAGAGTCTACCAGATTCGGGACTCTTCCGCTGTCAGGCCTCCGCTGTTCTTCGCCTTCCGGCAGAAGCATCAAAAACACGGTAGGATTCTCTGGTGATCCGACTTTTCCCACCATGAATAAGAATGGAACCACCGTGCCGTCCCCAGCCTTTGTTTCCGTACTCGGACATGTGTCGGTGCCACCTCCTTCGAGATCAGCAGAGGGTGCGTCTTGGTTATTAGTAAACTGACTGCTCCAAACACCTGGCCTAAGGAGGGGATTGAGAATATTCTCGTAATTGTCATCGGGACGTATGACTGCAACATTCCGCTGGCAGGCCTGAGACAGATAAGAATACCCGTATTTTTTCCACTTCAAGCCGAAGTGGCTTACGCTGCAGATAGAGGCCGGTGCAAGTCGCCCTTGCAGGACGATATGGCTCTTTCCGGTCGCCAATTCACCAGTTGGGTCGGCGCCAATGTGTTGACAACTTATGGCCAAAACGTGACACAGCGGTTTCATCGGGTCGGGCGTCACTCTTTTCGAGTGCCTGAACTCCACATCCATGAACTCCACTGGCATCTTGACCGACGCCCACGACCAAGAAGGGGCTCGCCAAGAGGTTGGCCGAGGAGTGACCCAATGGCTCGCCTCCTCTGACCATCTCTGCACAGCTTCATCCAGAGGCTCATGAGGGCCATCCGTTTGGAGTGGCGGAAACACTGGTGTCCAAAGCAGACCGTCGAGCAAGTCGGTCTTCCACAGCCCAGCACAGTAATCTGACTTGATTTCTCCTTGGAACTCCTTAGCCAAGCCGGATATGGCAGGGAATATGTCGTCGTCTTTTGACAGTTTAAGCTTAGTATAGTGACGAACGAGTCGCCTCCAGATTATTCCCAAGTCTGTAGCTGACAACGACCTCCAAGCTGCAAACGCTGTAGTGCTGCTTCGGATTCGTTTGTCCTGGAACAAAAACTCCAGCAGCATGATTGAACTCCTCTGCCTCGATACACTGACACGCTGAGGCCTCGAGACACTCC